AGGACGGTCAAAAATGGGGTGTCTACACCACTCCTCTCACTACACCATTCTTTACAGACCCCTCTCTTCTGTTTGATGAGCTTGATACAGACTCTATTTCTGACATGATGACTCCGGTCCATCCTGAGGATTTTGTTTCGTCTCCTAGTCCTACTGCTCCACTCTCTGATCCTGAGCCGGCTTCTGTACCTGCTCCTGCTCCTACTTCTGTTCCACCTCTCAGTGAGCCTCATACATCCCTTGATTCCACTACATCATCTTCTATACCAGAGGTACCTCTTCGTCATTCTACTCGGGTAACACAACCTTATGTACTTCTTCGTGATTTCATTGTTGGTTCCACTAATTTTTCTTCTCATGAACCTACTTCCTATCAAGAAGCTTGGTCTAACCCTTTTTGGCAGCAAGCTATGAGTGATGAACTTCAAGCTTTAGATAAAGCTCATACCTGGGATGTAGTTGACCTTCTACTAATAGTTCCATTGAGCATTACAAAGCTCGTCTATTAGCTATGAGTGATGAACTTCAAGCTTTAGATAAAGCTCATACCTGGGATGTAGTTGGCTTCACTGGCTCCTTGCTGATATAGGTGTTTTTTTCCCTGGTGCCACCTCTCTCTATTGTGACAATCAAATTGCCATTCAGATTGCTCACAATGATATCTTCCATGATCGCACCAAACATATTGAGATTGATTGTCATTTCATTCGACAGCATGTTATACGTAATACTTTTCATCTTCTTCCTATTTCTTCTACTGATCAACCTACTGATATTTTCACCAAAGCTCATCCCCCTAGTCGTTTCGGTGATCTAGTTTCCAAACTCAAGGTGGGTAAGCTCAAGTTGGTTGATGCTTACCCACCTTGAGTTTGAGAGGAGGCTGTTAATGCATATATTAGATTTAGATTTATACTAATCTCATTGTATTGTAGATATAGTCTATCTCTCTCTATCTCTATCTCCTTCTATACTTATCTAGGTTTATGTTTAAATACAGGCTATCCTATTGTATTCAATTCAATTTCAATATATATAACATGTATCATGCTGATGATTGTTAATACCACATAAAAAAATTTGCTCATTGTTCTGTTGTTCCTACTTGGGGTCGTGCAATATGTGTTTCATTAGTGGTCCTGTAAGGCAATGACTATCAAGGAATGGCCTTAAATGTGTAAATTGTCCATACAAGCTTGAAAGTGATATAGCCAGCATCACCAAGACTCCTTTTATACATGTCAACAAGTTCTTCATTTCTAACCCAAAACTCCTGTCACAAACACAATCACAAATTTCGCATTTTAGTATCCGAATTGATCAAAATCATCCATAAACAGAGAAGAAAAAAAAAAGAGAGAAATAATGGCAGAACTTGAAAAAAAAATGGGGGGAAATCATACAAGCAATGCACTTGCTAAGTTGGATTACAGTTGCCAGTCGACCGGCGCTGGTCGTCCCCTTGGTCGACCTATGCTTTGATTACAGCTATAAATTCACCGTTGGACTGGCTAATATCAGATAAAGGAATTCATACTTTTTTTATTCAAATTTGATGAAATATTTGGTGAACCGTTGGAGATGCCTTATGAAATAGCTTAAAAGCTGAAAACACATGAGAAAAAAAGTTTTTAAAAAAAGTGAAATATGTTGTGTAAACAACAACTTAAACTGTAGTAGAAAAAATTCATAAAACACCCAAAAACTGAAAATGGTAAAAATTTGAATACAAAAAAATAAAAAGTTGAAAACAACTTAAAAATTAGAAGAAAAAACTCAAAAAAAACCACCCAAAAGCAATAATAATAAACATAATTTCATTAACAGCTAATACAACAATTTAAAAATTAGAACACAAAAAAAAAAGCCAAAAATAAACTGAAAGATTAAGGAAAAAAAAATCAAAAACCACCCAACATAAAAAATAAAAATTAGTTGAATTAATATATGAAAACAACTTTAAAACTATAATAGAAAAATTAAGAAAAACACGCTAAAATCCATTCAAAAGGGCCGAGTGGGAAAAAACAATTGAAGAGGAGAGTGAGAGAGACAATGAGCCGGTCGTCTCAATCAATCGATGGTGAGGTTGAGAAATAGGGTTCCAATTTGGCAGCAATATTTAGTTTAAAAATTGGCTATTTTAATTTATTTTTTTAATCTTTTATAAAAATATATATATAAAAGAATAAAAAGACTGATCTAATAATTTATAATAACTTTTTGATATTTTTAATTACTGTCCAAACAAGCCTTAACCAGTCAATTTAGCCACAAAAATGATGATATTCGGATTATTGTCTGCTTAATATTTTCTGTGACAACTTGTACATGTCGCCAAACATCGTACAAGTTGCAACAAAGCCCAACTTATCGCCAAAACATCCCAAACTATTCAGCGCCGACACTGCAATTTTGTTATAATTAAGAGGTTGTTTGGGATGTTTTAAATAAGTGTATTTTTTTGACTTTTTAAATTAAAAAGTTAAGGAAAAAATATGATAATTTGGGATAATTTTTTGACTTTTTACGAAAAAATATATATTAAAAAATTGTATAATTTAGTATATTGGAGAAAGGAGACAAGAATAGGCCGTACGGTGACAGAGTAGTGGGCAGAGGGTTGAATAGAATATGTTTGTCTCTTTTTAGGGCATTGAATTGGATGGTGATATTCGGCCCGCAGGGGCCACCACGGGTCTTGTTTTGGTAATCGGAACCGTTCAATGTGTAGAACTCGTCGAGTACTATATGCTTGAAAAATTACATTGATCGGATATTAATAATTATTTAATCAGATTAGTTTTTTTTCAACTGTTAACAATAACACTATCTATTTTTTTATACAAAACTAATTTGATCATATAGTTATCAATATCCGATCAACGTGATTTTTTACAGGCATATAATACTTGACAAATTCTGCATATTAAAACGGTTCAGATTATCAAAACGGGACTCGTAATAGACCCTCACGGGCCGAACAGCACCATCCTTAAGCTTGCCTCCGCCTGTGTAATTTGTTTGCACCAAAGTCACGTAAGACAACTCACGTCAAAGTGAGTTGCACTTTTTTGTGTAAAAATAATTTTTTTTGGTAAATAGTGATAACTTTTTAACTTTTTTAATAACTTTTTTACTTTTTTATCTTTTTCTGAAGATGCCAAACTAAGCCTAAGTTTAGAAAAAAAATATAGCAAATCATATAATTTTAACATAATTATTGAGTTTTCTTAAATTTTAATTTAAATAATGTTTAATTCATTTTTCATCAATATGATTAAGAATGGAAAAGAAACCAGATCTTATGAAATATATCGGGATATTTTGAAAAGATAGTTGAAAGTTTATTTTTTTGATTTTTTTTTAATTTTTTAACTTTTTTTATAAAAAAAAAAAATTGAGTTAAAAGTTAAAAAGTGAATTTCAACTTAATTTTTAAAATAACTCATCAGGCGGCTCTACATGGTCTTACCATATAAAAAAAAAATTAAAAAAGTTGTAATCGGATATGATGAATGATTAAGAATGGGAGAGAAGCCAGATGGCAGAAGGGAACGGATCGTCGGTCGCCCTCCCCTGTAGCCATCCTCTGTCGCCCCCAAAACGACGTCGTTTTGGGGGCGAATTTTCAAAAAAAAAAAAACGCAGAAGAGGGAGGAAGGAGAGGAAGACAGAGGGAGGAGGGAGGAGGGAGGAGGAGGAGGAGGAGAGGAGGGGCCGGACTGGAGGGGGCCTTACATACAGGGGAGGAGGCGGAGGAGGTGGAGACGGTCGGAGGCGGAGGCGACGGTGGTCGCAGGTGCTGCGACGAGGTGGGACGGCGGCTGCGACGGCGGCTGCGACGGCTGCGATGGACGAGGACGGCGAGCTCACAGCCTCCGGATCCTCCTCCTCCCTCCTTCCTCCCTCTCCCTCTTCCTCGCCTTCCTCCCTCTCCCTCTTCCTCTCCTTCCTCCCTCTTCTCTGCGTTTTTTTTTTTGAAAATTCGCCCCCAAAACGACGTCGTTTTGGGGGCGACAGGGGATGGCGACAGGAAAGGGCGACGGGTGATCCGGATTCGATGGGAGAAATATCATTTCAACCCATCAGTTCGCTCTGCATGGTCTTACCATTAAAAAATGTAATGTCATATGATGGATATGCTTGTGATTTATTAAAAAAATTATGTTTACCTAGAAAAATCACATATATTACACATTCAAATTAAAAAATAATAATTTAAGGTGAGTTGATCGTAGATCAGGTTGGGTCGGGTGATATTCTATTTATCATCAGTCTGAAATTAAATGGATTGAAAAAAATCAATTCACATCTGTTTATCGATTTAGCGAATGTAGATTGAACAAACCATACGGATTGGTGAATACATGCGATTGGTTTGGCGGTTTGAACATTACAAATTTTGGATATTTTTTCGAATATAATTCATTACTTTTACAATCTCCAATAATTAATAATTTGAAAAAATATGAATTATTTGTCTATAATATGTCATGGCACCACACATGTATATTTTTAAGGTACTTTTTTCTATTTTCACGAAAATATATATTTTATTATTTCTATTTTATATTGTTACTTGTTAGCAATTCTTTTTTAATTTTTGTTTTGAACTTTATCTACAAGCGGATCACGTTCATGCGAGGGTATAAGATGGTTGATTCACCATCCGAATTGTATTAGCGAATTTTTTAAATATTTTATCTGCGTTCGTCCATCAAAACACACGCATCCACCGAAAATCAATCAAGTTGGATCGGATCGGCCGGATTGAATGGATTGAACGGATCCATGATCACTCCTAATTTGATAATAGAAAATTAATCATGTGTCATTTACGAATTTTATGTATGTATTGAATAGGTTACGATAATTAGATTGAAATAATTTTTTAAAAAAAATAAAATATATCAAGTCTCCAATACAATAAAAAATTTAAATTATCAAAACGAGACACATAATAAATCTACAGGGCCAAACAACGTGGTCCGTCCACAAAATGAACTGGAATAGAGCTGCCTCCTGTATAAAAAGACTAATCTCTTACTTCTATTATACAGAACAAGTTAAGGAAAGAAAGAAAGAAAAAAAACTCATAAGATGTTGCTCCTTTTCCTCATAGCTCTTCCCATTTTCCTCTTCTTTATTCTTCACAAACACAGAGTAAACAGACATGTTCTTCCACCAGGCCCTCCTGGGCTTCCATTCATCGGAAACTTACACCAGCTCGATAACTCCGCCCCTCACCGCTACCTCTGGCAACTCTCCAAGCAATACGGTCCTCTCATGTCTTTACGACTCGGCTCTGTTCCAACCCTTGTGGTTTCTTCAGCAAGAATGGGAAAAGAGGTCATGAAGACCCATGATCTTGAGTTTGCTAGCAGGCCTTCCATGGTTGGTCAGCAAAAACTCTCATACAATGGCTTGGACTTGGTTTTTACACCATTAAATGACTACTGGAGGGAAATGAGAAAGATTTGTGTTCTTCATCTCTTCAACTCCAAAAGGGTACAATCTTTTCAGTCAGTTCGCGAAGATGAAGTGCTACTAATGATCAAGAAAATATCTAAACAAGCTTCTGCGAAAAAAGGTAATATTGTTAGTTTCATAAACGTGATTGGAGTTATTTTCTGTATGTTTTTTAAGACAATTGGTGATCTAACATGGTATTAGAGTATTGATTCCATTCTCGATAATTCAGCTCATTTGCTAATAAGTTTTTTGGGACAATTGGTGATGATCTAACAGGTATTAACTTGAGTGACACAGTAATGTCTCTCACAAGCACCATAATCTGCAGGGTTGCTTTTGGGAAGAGGTATGAGGATGAAGGTCATGAAAGAAGTAGATTTCACAGCCTACTTAATGAAGCTCAAGCGTTGATGGCGACATTCTTTGTATCGGATTATTTTCCTTTAATGGGGTGGATTGATAAACTCTCTGGACTATATGGCCGGCTTGAGAAAAATTTCAAGGAATTGGATATGTTCTACCAAGAAATCATCAACGATCATCTTGATCCGAAAAGACAAGCATCTGAGCAAGAAGACATCACGGACGTCTTGCTTAAATTGCAAAATGATCATTCGTTTACGATTGATCTCTCTTTGGACCACATTAAAGCTGTGCTTATGGTGATCTGTCCCACATACTTTGAGATGTATTCTATAATTGATTTTTTTTCAACCTTGTAATTTTCTTTTCGTTTATTTTGTTGTAGAATATATTTGTTGCTGGAACAGACACAAGTGCAGCGACATTAGTTTGGGCAATGACAGCGCTAATGAAGAACCCAAAAGTGATGAAAAGGGTGCAAGACGAACTGAGAAATTTAATCCGAGAGAAAGGCTTTGTGGGTGAAGATGATATTCAAAAACTTCCATACCTTAAGGCTATAGTAAAAGAAACAATGAGATTGTACCCTGCAGCTCCATTGCTCGTGCCAAGGGAAACAACTCAAACAATTAAAATAGAAGGATATGAAATTCCATCCAAAACCTTAGTCTATGTGAATGCATGGGCCATTGGAAGGGACCCTGAAGCTTGGGACAACCCAGAAGAGTTCTTGCCTGAGAGATTCTTGGGAAGTGCTATTGACTTCAAAGGTCAAGACTTTGAACTTGTTCCATTTGGTGCCGGTCGAAGAGGTTGCCCTGGGATCTATATGGGTGCTGTGACAGTGGAACTTGCGCTTGCTAATCTTCTCTATTCATTTGATTGGGAACTTCCTGTTGGGATGAAGAAGGAAGACTTGGACACTGAGGTGATGCCTGGTATAACAATGCACAAGAAAAATGCCCTTTACCTTGTAGCTACAAACCCTAATTAATGGGTATGAAAATAGGATCTTTTGTTCTAAAATATTGTCCCATGTAAGCTTGTTTGGTTTTGATTTTCAGAAAATTCTATTTTCAGAAAATTCTCATATTTTTTTGTTTTTAATGAATTTTTTAATATTTTAAACATTTTTTAAAAAAAAATTTAGAAACCTAACATAAATACACTTAAAAAGTGTAATATTTGTGAAAAAAATATTTTAAAAATTTACCAAATACCAAAAATACAAAAATACAAAAAAAAATTATTACATTTTTTGTATTTTTGTATATTTATTAATTTTTTAAAATATTTTTTTACAAATATTTTACTATTTAAATATATCTAAGTAAAGTGTTTCTAAAAAAATAAAAAAATTACTTAAAATTCTAAAAATATTCACTAAAAATAAAAATAAAAAATACGAAGAATAAAAATCAAAAAATTTAATTTTTAAAAAAATAAATCCAAAAAACTGAAACCAAAAACATACCATATACTTCTTCTAGCTGTACAATTGTGGCTTGGAACTCTTGTATTTCAGATTTTTCATGATATCCTGTGCTTCTAAAAGTGCATTAGGTATGCAAAAACAGAAATTCGCAGTGAGTGAAAACTCACTAGATCCAAAGTGTTATGGGCGGCCAGACATCCATTTCATAGGCGTCAATTATTAGACTTTGAAGTCCGTTGAAAATCATTTTCATAGAAAGCCTCCTCCATTTATTGTTTAATTTACTCAGAAAATCCAATCGTGCACGTCATTGCAAACATCATTAGAAAGTGACAGTTTTGTAAATTCAATAGATGAGAGGGAGTGTGCATAATATCATTTTAACATCCATACATATTTAAATACAAAATAGCTACTGATAAAATAAACATTTCGTGTTCATTAATATCATTATGGGTGTTGTAGAGGAAATCAACATAATTTCGTACATTCAATGCAAAAATAAATAAATAAAAATAAACATGGCCGATAAATAACAAAATACAATGGACGAAATAACAAACAATAACAAAATACCACCATGGCCGATAAATAACAAAATGCCATAAACAACTAATAACCACCAAGATATGTTGGTCACTGTTCTCATAGATAAAAGATTTGAAATCATTTCAATCCCAATAAACAGATTACGACCATTTCCCTTGACAAAATTGAAATAAAGATTCAAGGCAACCTCTTGTTACCAATTTCCGGCCATTCCTCATAAATTACATGTCAAATTAAGGAGGCACACATCATCAAATCACCACAAAAATATACTGAGCAGAATGCTGAAAGAATAGTTTCTCTTTTTTTTTCCCTTTTTTTTTTTGAAAGAAAAACAAAGGTAAATAAAAAAAAAACAGCAGCCGCTAAGTAGTAGTACATTTTCGTACATTTCTAGAGAACAAAATTTCTCATTACTTCTTGGGTCTTCCCCTCTTGGCCAATTTTCCTTTAGCTTGAGTGCTCTGTGTGCTTTTCTTCTCGTTGGAAGGACGACCCCGGCCACGCCCACCAGCCTTGCCTCGACCTCTACCAGCCTTTCCACCTCGTTGACTCTTCTGATCTTCCTGCCCATTTACCTGCCCTTCGCTGTCATCATCGTCGTCGTCGTCATCATCATCACTATCCTCCTCTTCGTCCTCTGACTCTGATGAATCTTTTGACTTCTTCCTCTTAGTAGAGTTTTCAGATGTTTTAACAGCACCCTTTTTGGTATTTTTTTTGGCAACTGAACTTTTAGCCTCAGGTTCTACACTCCCTGCAGAAAGGTGCAATTCAAAGGCTGGTTAATTAATTCAGTGGCTATGTTTAAACTTTTAGTCCAAAAATGTCCTCCTGATGCGCAGGCCAGGTTAGTCAGCTAGAAACTTGGCCCTCCCTAAAAACTTATGAAGCATCAGGTACACCAATCAATTAGTAAAACAACTTAAACAATGCGACACAATGCAACTTCTACATCACTGTACCTTCCCCAGCAGCTTTGCCATCATAGACGTCAAGCTGTCAAACAACATGTGGGAGAATTAGCTGCCCTACACACGGCCATTAGCAGAAACTACCAAAACAGCAGTTTAAAACAAGTATGTAAAGGATAAAATAGTGTTAAATAACAAACATATTCCTAGAGTTCTGACTTTCAACATGATACAGGCCTATCAGGTTCCCAGTCAAACTTACATTTTACAACAAATCTTTCCAAAGAAAGAAGAAAAACCTACACCCAAGATCCTACAAAACCAAGTGTTGATAGGACAGTTGTGCAAAGATTTTGCTACGTATGAATGAAAATTTCATGCAAAAGATTTCTAAATAATACGAGTATATGTGACAGGCAAAGAGTGTCACAACAGAGTCCTTGCACTGCTAGTTTCATTTACAAATCCCATTGTATGTTTTCCTTATAATTCCAACTAACATTCTGCTAATAATTCTGCAAAGAAAGGACATTTAAATCCTATAGAATTTTATTTATTAAAAAAAAAAATTACTAAGGGCATGTTGTCACTTTTTTGTTCTCTATTTTTTGTTGGAAAAAAAATACATTTGGTTAAGACTTAAGTAAACCAATAAGAGCAAATTTTAATTTTTAAGAGTAAACATGAATCAGTCGACAAGGCACAGGAAAACACTACTCCCTCTGTCCCAAAATAATAGTCCCTTTTAGGGAATCCAACTTTTTTTGGTAGTACAATTATTGCACTTTAAAAAAGTTGATTTTCCAAAATTATCCTTTTGATAGTACATTTTTTGGGGAATATCAATGTCATAATTATACTTTTTATATTGTTTATTAATTTAAAAGAAGGGCAAAATAAGAAATTTATATTATTTTTGTACTTGATTTTTGAAGGACTAATATTTTGGGACGGTGAAAAATAGAATAAGGGACTAATATTTTGGGACGGAGGGAGTAACTTTTTTTATCAGTAAAAAGTACACAGCTTAGTAGACAAACGCTGTTTGTATGGGTGGAAAACATTTTTTACAGAATTTTTTCCAAAAAATGTTTTTTGGAAAAAAAAAATTACTATGTTTGATGGTGGAACGAAGGTGGAGGTGGAGGTGGTCGTGGTGATGGTGGTGTGGTGGTGGAGGTGAGAGTGATGGTGGTGGAGGTGGTGGTGGTGGTGGTGGTGGTGGTGGTGTGGTGAATGGTAAAATTTTAGTCTGGAAAACATTTTCCACCTTTTAAAAGTGGGAAACATTTTCTACCCAAATAGGCCTATTTTCTATTGACCATAGAAAATGTTTTCCATTGACTTTCCTTTTCTATTTTCTAGCTAATGTTTTCCGCCCAAACAAACGGAGCATAAGAGGATTATGCATGTAGTGTAGAAGTCTTACCTGATCAAGTCGGTCACCAACATTCGTTCTGTCAACCACCACCATGGAATGGGCAGATCCACATGCAACACTATCGAATAAATAGCCCCCAGTGAGTATTTTAAGCATAAGATATTATGCATGTGCATGTCAAATACCAACCTGATGACGTGCATGCCCTCAAGAGTGTCAACTTTCTTGGGAACTGCAGAAGATCTACAGAGCATAAACAAACACAAAAGCGTAAAAACGTGATAATGGAGAGAAGCTCGAAGAGAAGAAGGAAATTATTATTAAAACAGATTATACTTACTTCTGTCCATAAGGTCCATATCCCAGCTCCCCAGACTGCGCATGACCCCAACTTATGCAGGAACTATCAGCACCAACAAAATGGTGCATGCTGCCTGAATCCATGCAACGTATATTCCAGCCACTGTAAAAGAACAAACAAATACTACAGCATAAGTTTCTATCCAGCCTCCTCCAACTCCAAGCATCTCTTCTCCTAGGAATCCTAACATGGTATGCAAACTAAAGAAATTCCTTGAAAAGCCTCCAAAACGACTAGGCATTTAATGCTTTGTTCACACCCAAAAGATTTAGCCTTCAAAACTTCATCCTAGGTGATGGTCATTCTATCAAAGACTGACACAAAACTATCCTTTTGATTCTTATCAAAGTGTATAGTATTATAGTATCTTGGTGGCATACTAGGAGGTAGATCCAGTGAAAAGATACTAGGATGTAACCAGCAAGCATGTCGTAGTCCCCTAGATCAAAAGCTAAAGAGTTAATGCTTATCAAAAAAAACCTCTAAGGAGCTGGGAACATACTCCGAACTCCCCCCAAAAAAAATACCTCTAAGGAGCTGGGAACATACTCCAGAACTGGTGATAGCTATCTCTATCTAATTGACACATGCTGCCAAACTTTTCCCCCACTCTGTTGATCCAAGCACCTAGATGATTTCAAAATTATCCTTGTAGGAAACAAAGGTGCCCAATACCACATTAATTGGGTTCTATGATATTTCAATAACAGCTAAGTGCAGAAAGCTCCATAATGCACATATATCCGTTGATGATGTGATACAAAAAGCATTAAAAATTCAAAACCAACACCATTATGCGCACAGAGCACAAAACTAGGCACAACACTTGAATGAAGAGAATGACTAGTCAAAGAAGCACATAATTGCAATAGAAATTAATAAATGCAGCCATCAACAAACATAACAAGACAAACCAATCAAGTAGAAACCAATGAGTTGCAGTCTGTGTGGCTAGCCCTTTTAGGCCTCGTTTGGCAAGAGGCTATTTTAGCCAATTAGCCAAAAAGTTACTAAATTAGCCTGTTCCCAAACGAGGCCTTAGAGTCTCTCCTAAGGGGAGGTCTTGGGTTCCACTCTTAGGGGTGGAATTGGAGGCGAGACTTAAGTTCTTGCAAGGTGAGGGTGTGAGTTCAACTCCTCCTAGATGCTAATCTAACAACTAACTTTCACCAATATAAAAAATAAAACAATCAAGTAGAAGCACAAATAACTACAGTTACTACAATAAAATTGAATTGAAATACTGGTCGAACAAAACCTAAAGCATCCCAATTTACTATAGATGTTTGAGATGTTTAAGAAGAAACTAAAAGAACAATAAGTAAGAAGTGATATAACCAAGGCCTAGAGTACTACCTTAAATCCATAAGAGGTTTAGGGTACATCCAATCATCACCAGAGTTCTTTATTTTGCCCCACATATACAACTGTCCTCCACCTGAAAAACAAAAAAGCTTAGGTTGCATTTGGTAGAATTTTCTAAATATGATTTGAGAATTGAGATACTCAAAAAAAGTTAAAAAGTCAAAAAATTACTCAAAAAGTTAAAAAGTTAACACTATTCACCAAAAGTCAACAATTATGGCTGCACAACTCCCAATTCTAATTTTCCTCTACAAACCAATTTTTATAATTTTTTATTACACATTTTTCCATAAAAAGTCAAAAAGTTAACCCAAACATCTATATTTTTTCCCTCAACTTTTAGTCCAAAAAAACAAAAAGTACACTTATTTAGGACACCCCAAACAACCCCTAGAATTGTATTTTGAGTTTGTGAGTTTTGAAATTATAATTTGAGTGTAGAAAATTTGTTTGGTGAATGAGTTTTGTAAAGAGTTTTGAATTGAATGAGAAATTTTTGATGTGACATACAATATTTGATACAAAAACTTACAACTCATAACCAAACATACAACTCAAAATTCTATTAAAGTTCATAAAAAATTTATAAAAATTCGGAAAATATTTTTTATTGAATATATAAAAATTAACATGTGTCAATTGCAAAAAAAAAAAAAAAATTGCACAAACCGGCCAAACGACCGGTTAACCCAAATTTTCTCGCCTTCGACTGCGTTTTCAAAAGTGAGTTTGGAATTAATTTTTGAAAATCGTAAATAAGCACCATATTCAAATCGAGTTTTGGAACGTTCCAGAGCTCCGCCAAACAGAGCCTTAGACATTCAATACCAAATATTAAGCATGATAGCCTTACCATATCATGTATACTAGAAGGTTGGCACGCACTATGTGCGTGAGGCTTCATTAAATCTTTTATTATTTTTTTTTTATAAAATCCGTGCAACTAGCATAAAATGATACATCTAAAAACAGCCAGCAGACCCATAGGCACACTAAAAATACCAGATGGTGAACCAACATAAGCATTTTCCTTTTAAACACTTTACAGTTATTTTCTACACCAATCAAATACTTCTCATCTCCTTATTCTCTCTCCCACTTTCCTATTCTGTCTCCTACTCAATTTTTTCGAGTTCACTTCTAGCATACATAGAGAAAGAGAGAAAGACAAAGACAAAGAAACTGATGTCAATCATATCCAAAACTACATGCTACACAAACAAGTGAACAACTGAAATAGGATACTAATAGACAGAAGAAAAAAAAAAGAAAAAAAATACTGCATAGCATCATCACCTATCATGCCTTGTAAAGTTCAACAAATAATTTTTCAAATTGGCCTTGCTTCACACAATCTCTCTCTTAATAGCTACCACCTGATTACTTTCTTCTCCAAAAATATTGTAGGCTGTGGGAGTTGAATGATGATGTCGCCAGTGTGAAATTACCGTACATGTTCATTAACAAAACTAGGTATCTATTAAAATGGAATGGAAAAAAAGAAAAGAAAAATTTGTAGTCTCTTTTTCTTCATTTGGTTCTCCATTGCAAAAGAAAATAGAAAGGAGACAGAAGATTTCTTTTAAAACTATCTTCATGGGCCCAGCTAATTAGAAGAAATTTGGAGGGAATGGTGTTAGGTAAAACAAATAAGCACAAAGTACAAAAACCTACACAATATTTTGAAAAGTTTTTCTTTAATTTCTCTCCACTTTCTCTTATCAACCAAAGAAAATAAAATAATGATTTTTCTTCCCTTATCTCTCCTTTTATCTTTATTTTCCCTTCTCTTTCCCTTGCGTTACCACACCTACATAATATTGAATATGGGGAACAATAAAACAGGTTGGCAAATATGATAGTATAGATATTGTTCAAACTTCAAAGTCTTCAGACAAAGCCAATGTCTACAAATAGGCAAATGCTAGTAAGTTCCCCAGGGCAACTGTTAATATTGGGAATGTGAGAAAAAGTAACTTCTTTTTTCTTTCTTTTTTTGTATAAATAAATAACTTGAAAAAGTGTAAAAAGATTATAAAGTGTGTTGAAATTCATTAAAAAAAATGTATTGAATTTCATGATAAGTGTCTCGTGATCTACATATTTTTGTCTTTTTCCTGCGCCCTAGGGGCCACTTATTAGCAAGCCCCTAATAAATATCATCTTTGTAACTTAAAAAGCACTGAAAAAGATGGTAGTTGAAACTTGAAAGCATTATAAACAAACCAACCAGAGAATTTTTATTGTCATATCCAATAAGATCTGCAAAACCAATAAAGAAGCAACAATGCCTACCAGCAGTACATGAAGAGTTAACAGAACCAGCTGAAATCACAGCATTAGGAGGTAGAACATTATTCCTTGTGAAAACATCAACACGACGAGGAGCCCACTCATCCTTCTGCTCTCTATGCCCAAGCCTATACTCACAACTTAAGTAGTAAGAAGAACAGGGAAAAGAAATTGGAAGCTATGTAAGATAACTCAAGTTTCATATCCAGTATATAGAATGCTTTGCTTTGCAATCCTCAAAAGCATTTGCTGAAAGCAAAAGCTTATAGAGTGTAAAATTTGAAATCTAAAGAAACAGCTACCAACCTTCCATAACCTCCAAAGCCCCATCTGGAAAAATGTGACCCATAAAAATTATCACTCACTGTATATTATCATAAGCCACTGAAGGGAAAAAGGAAAAAGAGAGGTGAAGAAAATGAGCTGCAGGAAAACTTACGTGTAAACAAAGCCATTCGAATCCACAGCAACTGGATGCCCAAAACACAAAATAGGCAAAGTGAATAATACTTGTACAGAAAGTTGAGAGAGAGATGATAAATAGGTCTCATGAAAAACCTGTATGATTTGTTCCGCAAGCAACCTTCACTATAGTTTCTCCAGAAAGAGAAGCTATTGCTTTAGGACGTGGTTGGGCTTCATAAGCAAGTCTAACCGAGCTATCTTTGGTATTGTACTGTAATGAATCAAACTTGCTATGAATATTAAAACAACAACAAATTAAGTGCATGAGCAGGGCACAACAAATGATTTTATATATTTTATTCTATACAGCCCTCATAGCTAGAATTCAAAAGGTTAGGACACTTGTCAATGTATTATGCACCCAGCATGGTCTCACCTGGTCTGGGGATGCATAAACATGTACAACGTTCACTGCTTTCTTGTCCGATGAGCAGAAAGCAGCTGAAGTATACTCTATGGTGAGACCACTAGACAATTGTAATCATTCCTTATTAAATGACATACGTCACTCTCAAGCCCAGGAGCAGATTTTAAATACTTACGTTACAATATTTCTCATATCACACGTACAAAAAAAAGACAAATATCACACATCATTCAGACTATTTCATTTCTTACAGATATGAAACCTAATAATAATCTTACACGGGCCTCGCATAGAGAAGCATTAAATCATGAGATATAATAAAAATAGCAAGAACATAAGATATACCAATCATGCAGGCCACAGAACAAAAGCCACAATATCTTTAGAAGGTTGGCTAATTCCAACCACGATAAGCCTGAGAAGCAGGAGCAGCTACAACAGTAACTTGAGATTAAAGATTACTGGAAGGTTATCAACAGTCGATATCATCAGTTCATCACTAGATTTTCAACAAATCTACAATATAATTGTTGACCAGGACATACACATATTGACTGCTAAATATGTTCAGATATTGAAAATTATACATGCTATACACATTAAAGTTGTGTTTGGAAACGTTTTACAGTTATCATTTTTTCACAACAAAAAAACAGGAAACATGTTTTTGTTAAACAAAAACATATAGGATGTTGTATTGGAAACAAGTTTCACCCCCTCCCCATTCCTTTTCCCACATAAACAAATAACATATGTTTGCGTTACCAAACATGTTTCCCATGCTTGTTTTCATTTGTTTTTGCGTTACCAATCATTTTTCCCAATACAAGTGAAAACACTTTTTTTTCAAATTTTTGTCAAAATTATAGAATTTTTTGCCACTTTTTCACAATAAATACAGTCCTCAAACATGTTCTATTTACTTTTTTCAAAAATTGAGAAAACAAAATGAAAAAAAAAAAAAAAAAGAAACAAGAACGTTATCAAACAAGCCCTAAGCCTTTTGTGTCAAGTTTCAATGATCACTCCATTATCTGACTTCAAATCTGATGGTACACATAACATAAAAATTAAAAAATAAAAAATAAAAAACTAAAGGAAACCTAAAAGGGCCATTTATCTTCAAGATACCTCGTTGTCTGTCCCATGCCCAAGTTGACCATATTGCGGAAGACCAGCAGTCCTAGAAACCAAGAAACCCAGGGAATTTCAGTAGAAATTGGAGTATGATGAGAACTTACAAAAATCAAGAACTCAAAAATATGTGAAGTTAGAAGTAGAAACCAACATAAATTTACAAACCATACAATATAGAAGCTCCTTCAACAGAACTTAACCACACAGTAAAATCTGCCCCACAAACAGCATTTTTTATTTCGGAAACAAGGCAGCGTACAGGAGACGACTCAATTTCTACAAGAAGACAAACAAGAATGTCATTTGATGTATAGTACAATTTAATGCATAATAACCCTAAAAATGAACAGATTATGGTGGTTTGGTCATGTACAACAAAGACTGATAAATGCAACAATAAGGCAGGGGCATATGCGCGACGAAAAATATTAACTGAGCATATAAAATTGACAGAATGATGAAAAATATGCATGTAGCCAAACCCAATTTGATACTCAAGCGTACTGTTTGGTAAGGTTCCAACTAAGTTACAATTGTTTTTATCCAAAGTGCAACCATTCCCTATATTCTTTTGCAAGTGTCAGCATTAACATCATAAGATGTCACTAAGCCAAACCTCAGAGAAAAACCCACCACTCTTTGCTGAACCCGAACCCAACTGTCCATGTTTATTCCAGCCAAAGGCAAATGAGAATCCATCGTTAGTTACCACCACAGTATGGCTCCTACCAGCCCCTGCTCCAATGATTTTATTCCTGGAGGGGAAAAAAATATATATGTCAAGTATTTTCCAATAGTAATGTGGAGTTCAAAGGCATATAACTCAGGTAACTGGCAAAAAGCTAGATTGTTTGACACAAACTCCCACATTCCCCCAAACCACGCCCAGTTCTTTCTTAAAATTTTAAATTCTACTACATAACTACCTATAAAATCATATGACCCACATTTCACCATTTCAAACCCCAAAACGATAGGTGCATAATATCACTAGCACAACCAAATTAAACCAAAGACTGAGAGATGAGACCAACTAGCAGCACATCAGGAACTCAGCTATACTCTTCCATTGCAATCATTTATTGCAGATGTATGTGAGACCAACCCTCTAATGTCCCACATGTACATGGTGGATGAATGTACTCAACCCTGGAAGATTTTTTCAACATGAATAATCTTTTTCCAGACCAAATTTATGAAAGGGCCACTGCAAATGCCATAGCAGCACCCACTAAAAAATAAAACAAAAAAAAAAATAAAAGAGAGTAGCAGAATCGAGAAAAGAACTTTCCTAAACATTCTCTTATTAAATCGAAAGAAATACAGTAAAAACACAACAATCCTATTAAAAAAAAAACACTTCCATTGTCAGACCAATGCAACATACTTGGATAGTTCTGAGACAACTGTGGGTCTATCGCGCTGAATTGTATCGCCATGGCCAAGTTGCCCTTTCTGCACATACATACATGATTAATAAGTTTAATACATAATACAATGATTATTAACTCCGTAGTTTAATAAAATTAAGCGTGCCTCGTTACGCCCCCAAGTATAGCAACGCCCTTCAACATCCAATGCCACACAGTGACAAGAAGCTACATACATCAACAACAAAACAAACACCAATAAACCCACATTACTTGTAGAAATTGACGATAGATCAAATCATATTTTAGTATAAAATAAAAAAAACCCAAAAGAGTAAAGATTTGAAGAACAGAGCGAGAGTTACTCACCACAACCAGAGACGACCATCCGAATGTCGACGCCGACGAACGGTCGGAGACGAGTGGGAGAGACCAAGTTCCCTTCCATGGACCCCTTGCGGCGACCTATGGTGTCCCAACACGTGGCGCCGCAGAACAACAGCTCTCCTCCCTTCACCGCCTCCGCCTCCTTCACAACCTTCTTCTCCTCCGCCATCTCCGGCCAACTCCGACGAACTAAATTCAAAACAACCAAATGTAACGGCTAGTTGAGCGGAATCGGCGGAGAGAGATTTAGCCCTAGATCGGAGATTGAGAACAAAACGAAACCCTAAAATGGGTGCTATAAAAAGGGTGAGAAGAGGGGATTTGTTTGGGTTTTCCGAGATTGTGACTTTATTAATATAAGGATATAAATTGCGGATTGGATACATTTGATTGTACATTGGTTTATCTATTTTTATTTTCATTTTTTTTCTTTTCAAATCGTTTTATTTTTGTAGTCGCTATCACTAGATTTTCCTTCTTTTGGATAGGATGAGCTTTTATTCAAAAATGTTTGGGCAAAGCACCAATAAATTGTAATTATTTGATTTTGTCTTTTATTTTATAGACAAATTAGTCTACTACTCGTGTTATGCACGGGATAATTATACATATTTATATTTATTTTACTTTTTTTAATATATAAATTATATTTTTTAAGATTTTTTATAAAAATAATTTAACAATCTTATTACTAACCATAATATACAGGAGAAATTAAAAAGGCTACTGCAATAACTATGCATGAGTTGTATCTATAATTATTTGTATGAGGGGATTTTAAATGTTAATCAGGTATTTTGACCAAATCAATAAATGCAGGCATATGGATTTTAAAAGTTAATAAATGCTGATTAGGGAATTTTAACCAAATCGATAAATGAGTTTTTTTTTTAAATCAAAAATTTAGAAAATTAAGATTGAAATATTTGAGCTCCCACAACGCTTGGGGTTCAAAAATCCCATTTTTGTTAATATATTTACAATCTATACTATATATTAAGTAAAAGGGAGTTTTTAACCCCAAGCCTTGTGGGAGCTCCAATCTCCCAATCTAAATTTTTTGATTTTTTGATTTAAAAAAAAAAAAAACCTTAGCATTTATTAACTTCTCTCAACCTCCAAGTCTTACCCTCATAATAACACTTTAATGCATTAAGAACAAATATAAAAAAAATTCTTTGAAATCCAACACATATGAATTCCTTGAAAAGTCCCAACACATATGATCATTATCCCTCATAATAACACTTTAATGCATTAAGAACAAGTATAAAAAAAATTTGAAAAGTCCAACACATATGATTATTGTCAAAATATTAAATTTTAATATAATATAATAAAAAAAAGACATTTAATTCCTTAAAAAGTCTAACCACATATGATATTATCAAAATATTAAACTTAATATAATATAAAAAAGGAAAAAAAAGAAGCATTTAAAAAAAACATTTAAAAATCGCAATTCACATATATAGATAATGTAAACACAATCTGTGCATAACACGTTGATATGCTAATCTATACTATATATTAAGCAATGGGAGTTTCTGTAACGCCCTCAAAATAATAACATTAAAGCCCAACAAATAAGACATGCTGATTGACATATGAACTAGCACACATTTTATTCATTAGAGTCTCATTACATAAGTATTACATGTAACATCAAAACAAAATGCCCTACGGGCTTACAGCTTTCCAAGTTAACACTTGGTTACAACAAAAGAGTACTAACTCGTTTACACATTAAGCCCTTGGCTTGAAGTTACATGTAATACATCAAAAGTAAACGACAAAACATGTCCGCCTCTAGCCTCCCAAGCATTGTCCTTGGAGGTGGCATCTGCTACCTGTACCTGAAAATGATATTCTCATATAGGGTGAGCCACAGCCCAGTAGAAATACACTAAACCAACCATGGACAATGACTAAACCATTAGCAATTGATAGATGGCTAACACTGATACATTCACATAAATCATATATTTATGTCAAACGACTTACAAGTCCCAATTACTTTTTATTTCTCCTTTTTCAACAGTATAGGCATATAAGGCACTACCCGCATGCTCAACAGATATGTATAACAACAATATCCACATTCTCAGATAAGCAAATAAGCATATCCACATTCTACACACAGATATGTATAACAAAACGATATCCACAGATAAGCATAAAAGCTATATCCACACATCACAACGATAAGCATATAAGCTCTATCTTCACTTCTTTAGACAAGCCATATGAGCTGTAATCTAGGAGTCATCCCCATCTTCTCCCAACCTCATCCGTTAGAGATACATCCCCTATTTTCCGCCCTAAAACCGCAGAGTACATTCCCCTATCTCCTCCTCTACAATAACGTATATAAAAACACATGGTTCTATAATACAATCACCCATACACTACAGTTAATATGATTCTATCAATCGTCAAGTTCCATGACACATTTCAGTTGATTAGTTTCAGTTTGCTATATCATCATGCAGGTCTATCAACAATCAGACTATCCTCCAGCCGATTAGCGCCAAAGCAGTGTATTTCTAAACAGAAAATAAATGCACAAATGGATATTCAATCAACATTTCATTTCCTCATTTCTCACCTTAATTATCCCATTAATCAAACAATGTAATTAGGCCATTTTCCATAATTAACCATTTCAAACCTTAAGGTCCCATTTCATCAATGATTCAACATTTATTCCATTTCTCTACGCCAAACATGCATTAGGTTTATTATGAATAAAACTCCAACTTTTGTAAAAATTTGCACAAAAAGCCCCAAACTTTCACAAAAATTACCAAACCAAGCCAACATCTCAAAATACAAAATTTTAAAGACAAAAATCCATAAGAGAGGAGTAGAGATCCCTACCCTTGACAGTTTTAGCCAAGAAGAGGAGAATGAAAGACTCGAAAGATCAAACGTAAGCTCAAAATCCAAACATTTTCAGATTAAATCGAAGCTCAACACCCTCTATATCTTTTTAAAAGCGCCTAGGCTAGATTTCACACTCTAGGGAGATCAAATCTTAGAGAGAGTGCCAGTGTAGAGAGAGAGAGTCTCCGATTTAGGTTTGGATCAAAAAAGAAAGGAAAAAGTGATGTTTAAAATCGCTACTATGTCCGCTGATATAAACACGCTCGGCTCGACGCGAAGACTTGGTCGGCTCGAGCGACCAGACACAGAAAAACTCTCGCTCGAGCCAAGAAGTTCTCGATCGAGCGAAGAAAAACCCAGACCGCTCGAGCGAAGGAAGCTCGCTCGAGCCAAGAAAGACAGCTCTCAGGTCCAGAACCAGGTGCAACCGCTCGCTCGAGCGAGCCACTTTGGCTCGACCCACCAAACACGAACCCCACTCTCGCTCGAGCGACCAACTCCTCGCTCGAGCGAAGGTCCAAAATTCTGGGCAGCAACACTAGGCTCCCGAACACAACCAACCTGTAATAAACCTGCCTAACACATCCTATAACTCAAATATGAAGAAAAAGGAATGTAAGCACGATAATAACCAACTACCAACATCCACAGACACATGTCCGGATCACTGTACAACAAGGGTAAACCCGGGATCGCTATAGTTTCTAACCCCCAAGGCCTGTGGGAGCTCCAATATGCCAATTCTAATTTTCTAATTTTTTATTATTTTTTTTAAATTAACCTCAACATTTATTAATTTTTCTCAACCCACAAGACTTTTTGACTTCTCTCATAATTACTACAGTACCTTTTCCAAAACAAATAATTTGTATATTAAAAAAAATTTAAAACAAATATAAATATCTATATCTATATCTATACTTTTATTTATATATATATATCTCTAACCCACAAGTTTTGTGGGAGTTCCAATATTTGAACCTTAATTTCTTAATTTTTTTGATTTTTTTTTGAAAAAAAAAACTTAGCACTTATTAAATTCTTTAAAGTCTTTTTAACTTCTCCAATACATACACTCTTTTTAACTTTTCACATACCTATTGCAAATAGTGAGTCGCCTTTTTATTTTCTCATTCTTAACTTCTCACTTCTACACTTTCAACTTCAATAACCACGTATGCAAACAGTAAGTCTTCTTTTTGTTTTCTCCATCTTGACTTTTCCTTTTGTTTACTGTTTTAATATTGTAGTTAGATAGCGCATAAAAATATTTGTGATTTGTCTTGCGAATAAAAAATTATAATTTGATTTTTTAACATGATAATAAACCCTCACAAAGAGAAAAATGTGATTATAATTAGTTGAATGTTTTTTTTTTTTTATGTGATTGTAATTAGTTTAATAGTTCTTTTTTTTCATTTATTTATTTTATTATGAGAAAAATGTGATGTGATTGTAGTTTGTTCAATGACATTTTTTTTTAATATGATTGTTGTAGTTAGTTCAATGGTTTTTTTTTTAATGTTATTTAATCTTTTTATTTACTATTTTAATTTTATTTTTAATATGATTAAAGTTAAATAAACATAAACACTCACAAAGAAAAAAATGTGATTGTAATGCGATGTGATTGTAGTTTGTTCAATGGCTTTTTTTTTTAATATGATTGTTGTAGTTAGTTTAATGTTTTTTTTTTTAATGTGATTTAATATTTTTGTTTACTATTTTAGTTTTATTTTTAATATAATTGAAGTTAGATAAACATAAACACTCACAAAGAAAAAAATGTGATTATAGTTAGTTCAATGGTTCTTTTTTTTAAATGTGATTGTAGTTAGTCAATGTTTTTTTTTTCATTTATTTCTTTATTTTATTATGGGAAAAATGTGATTTGATTGTAGTTTGTTCAATGGTTCTTTTTTTTAATGTGATTTAATCTTTTATTTACTGTTTTAATTATTTTTCTTTACAATTATTTATAAAAAAAATATGATTGTAGTTAGATATCATAAAAATATTTGTGATTCGATTTGGTTTTTTTCTGATTTGATTTTTAAAGTACCAATTATTGATAATGATTAGATTATATTTTGAAAAAAAAAATGTAATTGATTTTTTTAACTCACTGTGTTTTTTGAAAAAAAATTATTGTGTTTTTTTAACTATCAATTCACTTAATTTGTGATTTGATTTTTAACTCACTGTATTTTTTAAAAAACAAAATGGGTTGTACTCATTAGGGTCACATAATGTACCAATTATTAATGATGATTAGATTATATTTCAACCCAAAAAAATTGTAATTGATCTTTTTAACTCACTATGTTTTTTGAAAAATAAATTATTGTGTTTTTTAATTATCAATTGACTTAATTTGTAATTAATTTTTTTAATTATTGATGATGATTAGATAGCATTAAAAAAAATTATGATTTGTATAATTGAAGTTATCTCCTTTTGTTGAAGTTATCTTCTT